ACAAGCAGGTACCAGAAAGGTGACACCACCAGGGCGTCTTAGCATTGGAAACTGACCAGAAGTGGTGCCATTTGAGAAGATCATTAATTCCAGCAACGAGAAAGGACCATCCCCACATCAGGCCAGGGCATGGCACGGGCTGCCTGACCAGTCTCATGATCTTAGGCAATATATTCCTCTCCTGCCCGCCCAGTCCTCAGGGGTGCCTGCAGGCTCTTCCAGTGACAGAGCAGGCAGGCAGAGCACTGTGTTGCTTCCAGCAAGGCAGACAACCTCCACACAACATCTGCTCCCTGGCTTGCCAGCTTTGCTTGTTCCACACCGCATACAGACCAACCACTTCTGGCAGCAAGTCAAAAAGGCAATCTGCTGTCTTCTCACTTCCTCCTAAGCTCTGGAGATAACGGGAGGGCCTGGGCTAGCTCTTCTAGGCTGGCTGCTGTGAAGCTGCAACAGGGCTTTGGGAACAGCACTTCAAACTTAGCGCACAACCTTCACAACGCTGCTGGGGGAGAGACACGAAGCAGCTCGCATGAGGGCTGCAGAGATTATTAGCTTCAACAGGGGACTTTGTCCATGGGCTTCTGTCCCGCTTTTGTCCCCCCATACGTACCCAATGCCCCAGCACAGCGTTTTGTACTTGTGCTGCACATATCTGCAGGGCTGTACAGGCCTCAGCTGCTGCTCCACAAGTTCTAATTTTCACTTTCTTGCTTCTTCTCTGGAAACGCCAGAGAAGCCTTCTGGGAACCATTACCCTTTCTTTTACAATCCTGAAGGAAGGGGAGGCTGGCAGCTCGGAGGACTCAGTAACCTGCCATAAATGGATGCTTTCTAAAACTCCTGAAGTCCTGCTGCGCATTATTCCAAGGTGCTTGTTTGCTTACAGACTCCTTGTCCTCACAGACCTGAGCAAGCCATGTGGAAGGATCTGGTTTCAGGAACATCAGTAATTATAGAACAGGGCTGACCGAGGGAGGAGCTCGCGGGAACAGCAACAACATTACCAGAGGCAGACAGCAGGCGTGAGGTGTTCAGGCTCAAAGCACCATTTAAATGGAAAACCAGGAAAGTGGCAAGTGGAACAAGCTGAGAGGATAGCTGTCACCAAAACGCAAGAGTTAGAGCACTTTATTTGCGGGAGGACTGGGTGGCAGCGAGTAACACTGCCTTTCTGCATCACTGCTCATGCCAGAATATGCCTTAGTTCTTCCTGAAGCCTCAGCATCGCTGGGACATCAGTGAGCATCGCTCCTCCTTCAGATGGGGCCATCAGATCCACAGGGAAGTGATGGAGGAAGGTAGAAGTTGGAAACGGAACCCAGGAGCCCTGACTGTTCCAAAACAGCAGAATAAAAACAAGTTTCCTATGAGCGGTGTTTGCAGCTCTATCAGCAGTAAGCCAACGCATCCATAGCTAGCTCTAAATCGTAAACACGTGCATGCAGCCTGCTGCCTGGGATCAAACGCCCAGCAGGCCAGTAAGACTTCTTGCTAGGCCGCCAGTCCTCCAAGATCCCAGAAACTACCCACAAAAAATAGTAGCAAGCCTCCTCCTCTTTGCAGCATCTGGGATTTTAGATCCCATGTGCTAACCAGACATAAGTCTACCAGCTTGTAAGTTTTCCTGTGCTTTCTCTTGGACTTTCCGGAAGAGTGCTACTAGCTTCGTAGATCCTTGCAAAATATCCTGGGCACTAGCCATTCACCTCTGATCCCAGGACACAGCTGACACTGATTGATTATGCCCAGGCACAAGTTCAGATGATTCAGCAGGGCCTGGGAACGTACACACTGAAACTGTTAGAACAAATCACTGTGTTCACTTCATCTCCATTTCAACCACAGAGCAGAAAAAAGCAAATCCAAGCTTGAGTGCATCTGTCTCCTTATAGAAAACTCCTGAGAGAGTTAAAATAACTTTATTATACAAACTAGTTCAATACGCTCTCAGGGAACTGGAGGAGAATGATATTTCCTCACTATTTTTGGCTACATTCATACAGTAAAAGCCGACTGGAAGAGTAGAGTTTCCCCACGTTTTCAACAGCGATACAAACAGCGAGTCTGTCAGCGTGATCCTGCCAAGACACCTCTCTGCCAATTAGAAGATCTCAGCATACACTCCTGACCATTTGGATTTCCGCCTCAGCCTCTGGCAACCAAAACACTCGAGCAAAGCATTAGCAGCTTTCACAATACTCTTGTCTTTGGTCTACAGAAAGAGAAGCAGAGGTACAAAGATGTTGATAACACTACCGCTTTCTTTTACAGCGAGCTAGTGGGGGATCAGCAGACCCCCCCCCCCAAACTCCAACCTCAAGCCCATGCTCACTGTCAGCTTCCAAAGAGCCCAGTGTCCGTAAGTCACACAACACCTACCCACATGGACAAGGGAACCCACACACTCGCTGCACAGGAGTGCCTGACTGTGAGCCCTCATGTGGTTAACAGCTCTCAAGGTCCAATAGCTTTAGTGAAATCCATACAATCAACTTAAAAGTGGAAAGTGGGTCTGGGCATTTTCAGAAATACTCCAGATTTGCATTAAGATGAAATTGAGACTTGCATTTAAAAAAAAAAGTTTCTAAAAAGGCAGGCAGAATAAGGATTTGAACTTAGGCTTCCAGCACCGAGGTGACTGCACTGACCACTGCTTATTTTGAATGTGCCTCACCTGTCCCCTCTTGGGCCTCACAAATTTTTCCTAATGAGAACTTCATTAACAGTAGTTGGTTTCAGAATAAAGTTTGTCTTAACAGACTACCAAACAATGCTTCCCTGTCAGTTCAAGTAGGAAGGCGCATCTGCCCTTTTAAACCACCCGGACCATTTCCCTGTCTCCATCCCACATCTATATCACGGTGTTCAACTTGCACGTTCTAGTTTTTGCTATTTACGGTTCCAGTTCCCAGATCAGGGCAAACCAGACAATGCAGCATCAGGACAATGTTTTTTGCTAGCACAGACATTATCTGGCTGATGCTATCCACGAGCCTCAGAAAGATGTGCTCCAGCTTGACCCAGCACCACGAGAAACATGATTTCTGGCCTGTGCTTTAATCCTCCCACCTCCTCGCGGTCAGGATTCCTCTCCAAACCGCAGCCTCCGCAAAACCCACACCTTCGAGCAGGACCTACGCACGGGGATCCCTGGGACACCAACAGCACATGCTGCCTCTAGTGCCCGTGCTGCAGGAAGCACCCCAATACACATGTGCACTTTGGAGCCCTTTAGAAAGCCAGTTTGAAAGACCTGACCCAAATGACCTCAGGCTGTTCAAAAACTCTTGGCTAGGTCTTAAAGGACAGAGGGTTTTCCAGATACTATGATTGCCGTTGGGAAGTTTAGAGCATTTTGAAAAGTCATCTTGAAACTGTGGTATATCTTGAGACAGTTCTGCTCTGTACCCCTCTTGCAATTGAGCAGGGCTCCACTGAATGGCATCTCAAAATAAATGATTTTAGGAGGAGGCATTTTGCAATCCCCTTGACCAAAAGGCTTCATATTAGCACCATTCTACACTGAACCCTGCTTTGGCAAAGTAAGGTAAGCGTGTTTCATGGTATAGAATAAAAAAAGTTAGTTCTTCTACAGAAAAATCCTGTTTATACTCACTATGAAAATCACTTCTGCTTGCTCTGACTTCCTCAGAGTCTGAGAGATTACTGCAACAATAACCAACAGCACATGTTTGAATGGTGACACTTTTCTTTAGAAAAGCAGGTTGCTCTGCAGTACTTATGGGGAACCAGCTGCACAGCTTGACAAATCTGCGGCTAAAAAGCAGGGGAGCCAGTACAAATCACAAACTGAACCAACTCCTCCAGAACTTCCTAGTAGGAACATGCCAGGCCAGGGCTTCTGACAGCAAACGATCTCTCAGCACTGTAACATCATCTCACCGAACTGAAACTGTTTGCATGTTCCCACTGCGTGAAGGAACCCCAGAATCGCTTGTCGTGCTAGTCCCTCCGTCTCTAAGAATGTTTGCAGATTCCAGTTCATAATTCAAGAGCCACAGATGATACATTCCCCAAAACACAAGACGTGCTGTACAAGAACACCAATTTGTCAACAGCCAATACACTAGAGAGAAGGAGACCACTTAACATCAGTAAGCAATTCTGCACAACAATGCTTTTCTGATCCACAAAGCCTTATGTGGCTCATTACAAAACCCTTTCTGCACACTGCACAGATCCTTGGAAGTTCATGTTTCAAATGCCAGAACAGAGACAGCAGAACAGTTGTACAATCTTTAGGAGACTCGCATTTTATACAGAAAGTCACATCTCTGTCCAGCCAAACACCTTAGATGCATGTTCTGGCTACAGTAAATTAACCCCCTACACACAGCGACAGCACTGTTGCAGGCTGCATGAAGCATTTGGTTGCAATATGACTACACTGCAGTTAAAGAGTGAAGAATTTCAAGCATCACCTCAAAGGCTTATGGTAGGACAACAGTCCTCCGAGCACATATTTACCATGTCCTCAAAAACCCTGTTTCAGCTCTGCAATAACCCGGTCAGCTTTTGTCCGTGTTAGGCAGTTACATAATAATAGATTATATAGATATCGCTGTCAGATTGTGTGTCCAGATTGTTAGACAATTATTTACCTAAGTACGGTTCATTATCTCAACCACCCTCCCCCTGTCTAGAAGAGGCAATTTCAGTTGTAAAATCACAGTGAAATAATCCAAAATTAATTTGCTATACTTCAAAAGGTAACAATCTGCTTAGGGAAACAGGACTAGACCGTGATACTTAGAGGACACTCCTAAGCAGCACTGTAAAGATTATATTCAGAAAGTGAACAAAAACAAGGGATAGAATTTAATTTAAGAAATTTAAGAAAGTCTAAGTGTGTGGACACAAGTAAAACTTGCTAAAAGCAAGCTGCACTTCACATGCTCTCCCTTATCCCAAGTGTTTAAAAAATAAGTAGGGTAAGTGTTTTGGTAGATCGCATGCACGTGAAAGGAAAGGGTTACCTCTCTGGAGCAGCTGTCCCCGTCTGCCTGTTGGTAAAAGCCACCGTTTAGTTACCATGTCAGCATGGAGAGCTGAAAACCGAAGTAATCTGCAAGAGAACACAACATGAATTTCCACTGCTATGCTGAAGGCCAGATATTTATGCTGCTGAAGAACTGGGACGGATCCAGCTGCAGCTCTGAAATTTAAACACACACTCCCTCTACAGCATGCTGAAACCATATGCTGGGGTAACTCCCCTTGTATCGCAGAAAGGCAGGCAGACGTAGTCTGCATGTGATCACAACCGTGTTCTGGAGGCTTTCACAGCTTTTACAGATTGTGAGTCAGAGCTACCTCCAGATGTCCCAGAGGAGATGTCTGCGCCCCCTGATCAGCCTCTGATCTCTGGGAAATCCTCATTAGAGCATCATCTTTATTTTGTATTATCAGCATTTAGAGGTTGACTACACTGGACTTTTACGACAAAGCGTCGCGTTGGTGCTAAAGCATGGATCTCATTGAAAAGGTCTATTATAGCCATAAAGTCATTTGGTTACTTTACATACTTCCATCTTTAAGAGGCTGCAAGAAGGTTACTGCAACTTTAATCAACTTCCCTCTTGGGTGGTCGAAACTTAAGGATTCGACGGAGAATTCACTCCTGTTGATTTCCCTGATAACTTTGCAAATAGCATTGTACTAATTTCCAAGCACAGGAGAGCAGTAAGAGAACAGTGCAGGAGGGGGGGGAAAAAGAAAAAAAAACACACAACAACAACAACCACCACCACCCTGCTTATGAGACTTTGAACTAGAGGACTTAGAGAAAATATGTTCTATTTTTAGACACAGTTATGCAGACTAACTGGACTAACATATTAAACAAAGATGTTGCGAACATGATGCTACTTGAACCCACGTACCCTCCCTGACATTGCACAGGCTTAGCTGCTCCTCCCACATCAATGCAAAAGCCCTGTTTCGTATTGCTACATCTTTCCACCTGAGACTACGCGCAGGGCAGCCGAGCGCTTGCAAACAAATGCAGCATCACCAGCCTCTGACCAAGAACAGGGCAGCTCAGCGAGGCAAGCTTGCAATTTCAGGGCAGAGGCCGAATCCCATCTAGTGTGGCATTACCTCCTGCACCTCCTCAGTCTGACGTTACACCGTGAGCTACGGCTGCTCAGAGCAGCATGACAAGAAGAGAAAGCAAATCCCCTGCTCCAGAAGCCGAGGCCTTGACTCCTTGTGTTCCTGCACTGCCTACTAGCACGAGTGCAGATGGCATTTCCCAGGTGGTCGAGCAATCCCAGGTACATCCAGGGGAGGGCATGAGCATGAAATCCACTGACATAATTAAAGCCCCTTGCAGTGGAGTATCTTCCTCTTTACAGTCCGTAATATACAATGGCGGCGGTGGCAACAACAACAACAAACCACCACAGTTGCCCTTGAAGGAAATAATTACCCTCATTGTACAGGTAGGGAAGCTGAGATGCAAGCAACTTTGCACACAGGTAAATCTGCATGAAGGTCACCAAGCGAGCAGAGGAGCATGGGTCCAACGCCCAGCCCTCTGCTTTAGCGACAGCCATAAAACCACACACAGCAATTCACTTACAAGGCAGAATGTTATAGCTACAGCAGGTTTCTCATCTCCCCTCCCAAAACAGAAAGTAGTTGTTCTAAATGCCCAAGACAAAGTTTTCTGTTAACCTTCCTGACAGGAAGCAATAATAAACTCATTACATCTCCACCGGCACATCAGGAGCAGGCTTTCTTCTCCACCAGCAATAAAACCCATCCCAGGTTCGGTAACAAAGCGTAATGTTGACATTGTCAATGAGCGCATGAATCACACATAAAGAGCGCACAAATCACACGCTGTGCTTGCTCTCATCACACACTCCAGGATCTCAGAATTAAAACTACATTACTGGCTCACCTTGTCCTGCTCACAGCTCAGTGCCAGGACTTGTCCCATCACCATCATGCACAGGGCAGAACTCGCACCAGTGCAGCAGGGCACGGAAGGAACCTGCCAGCACACCCCTCTTGAAAGCGCCCTAGCTTATTCTAAGTTGACGCATAATAAGTCACAGAGAAAACTCAATTCAGCACAGCCAGGAGTACATTCATATCAGAAGCGAAAGGGGAATCCACACAGGAGCAAGGGATTTTGTAAGAAACTCTCTCCAGAGGAGGGCAAAGTGGCTCAGGAACTAGAAACGGGACACGGACTGTTTCATACCAGGGTCACTGGTTCAAAATTCAAATATGACCCGCAGTCACTGCCATCTGACAGCAGTCCAAATGCCTGGGGAAAAGGGTGAGGCTGGCATACAGCAGCCCAGCCTCTCCTGGAGCAGAGGCGCGGAGGGAGGTCGCTGCTGTGACCGGCCTCTCTTGGAGCAAGGTGCTCAGATCTGCAGGGGCGACCACAGCTGCATCCTCTTTCTGTACTTGGGTCCCTCTGGATTAGGCACCACGCACACTGCCAGGACCCTGCCGCTGGTCAGAAGTCCGCTCGCCACTGCCCATCCACAGAAAACACCCGGCCCCTTTCACAGGGGCTCTCCCGACACACATGGGCCCAGCAGACCGATTCCTTCCCATGAGCGCTATGCTCACTAGCATGCACAAGGCCTCCCAGGACAGCTGTTCGAAAGGAAAGATTGCCAAAGCTGACTCGAGCAGATAAGTCATGCGGGGAGGCTGCTTGAGGCAATGCAGGTTCTAGATACAATACAATCAATGATAGACAGACGCTTTAGGAAAAGCATAGATGGGGTTTGTTATGCGGGGTTAGTATTCTCTCCTGCTCCACTGACAAGCTGCATCTTCAGCTGCTTGGCTTCTCTGTGCCTTGATTTTCCATCCATAAACCAGAGACACTAAAACATACCTAGCTCATAAGCACGTTTTGAGCCTTACATCACCGGTTTCTGTGAATAGGTTTGAGTCCATCTGATCACAAGCAAATAGAGCAGTTAAACATCATCTGAGTGCGGGGTGGTCCACATAAACTCTTGGAAGTACGGCAAGGACAAGAGCCCTTCTGACCACACGAAAAGGGAAGGTGAAAGCTCACCTAGGGGGAAACAGTTCAACATAAGGACGCGGTCCTTGTAGGTGACAATAATAAAGCTTGGAGCTAGCCAACAAGGAAGGAAAAAATGCAACAGGTTGGTAGAATCAAGTGAAGGAGGGAAACAGGAGGGGAAAGAAGACGAAGAATTTTATTTAAATATCCTGCCACCTACTTCTGTGTGCTCCTTTACCTTTCACCCAGGATTTTACAAGTACTTCACAAATTTATTAAGAGTTACAGCCAACCCAGCTAGCAAACCAGCTACCACCTTCTTGCATTCAGCTATGAGCATTTGCAGCGCGCTAGCCATCGCTTCCAGCCCAAAACACTTGGGTGGTGCTGAGGCACAGAGCTTGCAGAAGTTCACCTCAGAGAAGCACATCTCACAAGGGAGCAATGTGATCTCTGCAAAGAGCTCCCAAGCGCTTTAGAGTCACTGTATAATAAAGGTAGCACTACCCTCACTTTACAGCTGTAAAAGGCGAGGCAGAAAAAGTAAACACCTTTCACCTGAGACTTCAGGGAAAGCAGCAGCAGCTTTCCCTGACATATTATAGGTCTCCCAGCCTAATTGCAAACCCACGTTGCTGATCCAGAACCAGGCATCCCCCCTCCCCGGCCACAAGTTCCCCTTCCAAAATTCCTTTTCCAGTCACTGCAAAGCCAACCTGTCCTCTGTGGGGTGAGGTACCGTGGGCAGAGGACACCTGCAGCAAAGCCTAGCCCTGGACAAGGGCTCCTAGCAATGCTGGAGTTCCCACGGGGCTCTCAGATCCTTCCTCGCCAGGAACCCTTCACCCCACACACCACTAAAGGACCATCCTAAGCCTCCTGCTTCTCCTCCTTCCAGCCTCAGACTGTGACAGCGCCCCTCACCAGTATCTTAAAATCCCAGGCCAGTTCCTCCTCTGCCTCCCATGGCCCTCCTGTGCCCCCCAACCCCCTGCATCCCCTGTTTGGGCCATGTCCCCATCCTCAGTCTTCCTCAGTTTCCCTAACGAGTTCCTGTACCCTAACCCCATCATCTTCCAGCCTTAGATGCCCTGCCCTCCCAGCCCCCTCCAAACCCCTGTCTTCTCTGCCCTCAGACCCACGTCAGCAGAGCTCTCCGCCCCATACACCCCACATCCTCAGAAAGCTCCCATGAACCATACACCCCACCTCCTCCAACCTACGCCCTCACAGAGCCCCAGGCCTCACCCTCCACCCCCTGCTCCCCATTACCCCCACAAACCCTCATCCCCATCCCCCATCCCACACCACAGCCCCCTACTGCTGACTCCTTCTGCCCCATGCCGCTGCTTTGTACC